ATGCAGGGGGTCAGACCAGATGATCATAATGGTCCCTTCTGACCTTAAAGTCTATGAGTCTATGAATCTTTAGATATACTACTTATTATATCAAAACTAATAATATTTTTTACATTTTAAGGATGATTTTAACCAGTTGATTTTGGGAAATTTTTACAGGAGAGTGCATTAGCCACTTTGTTAGAAGCTTTTGAAATGTGTTCTATTTTAAAATTAAAATTTTGGCGAGCTAAACTTTACCGAAGAAGTTTTTTGTTATTTTTTTTGACAGTATGAAGCCACTTTAGCTCAGCATGGTTGGTTTGCAGGTGGAAACACCGTTTCCAAACATATGGATGTAGCTTTTTTAGAGGGTACACAATGGTGTAACTTTTTTTTTGGTGATTGACCAGTGGCTTTTTTTTTTTAGACAGTTTTTTGCTGAGAAACACGAGAGGATTGGTTTTTTTTTTTTTTGTTTTTGTTTTTTTTTGCATTAAAACTGCTTTTACATCATGCTTGGACGCATTTGTGGTTACTAGGAAAGGTTTGTTAAAGTTTGGGCCCTTAGCAAAGGGTTAGACATGAGTGTCGCTTTAAGCTAGTTAAAGGCCTTTTGACACTTTTTGGTTTACTGAACTGCATTTGGCTGGTTGTTTTTTTTTTTTGGTTAGGTTTGTCAGTGGGGCAGCAATCTGGCTGTAGTGCAGTACAAATTGCCTGTAATATTTGGCCAAGCCTAATAAGGATTGGACCTATTTTTTTGACTTTGGGACAGGCCACTTTTGGATAGCATTTACTTTGGCCGGTAGGGGGTTGATATTTTTGTGACTGTAGCGGGGTGGACACCCGCTCCTGCCCTGAGGGGTTTGGAATAGCCCTGCAGAAGGCTGTTGCAGGAAGAAGCAGCTACTGGGCTGATTGGGGAAGTAGCTGCAGCTGGGCCACACCCTAATCAGAGCCCAGATGGCCTGTATAAAGAGGCCGGGAGCCAGGAGCCCAACAATCTCTCTGCTATCAGAGAGAGATGGGCCCGGCTGCAGGGAGCTAGACACAGACTACCTGGGTGGAGCAGGGCTGGGGAGCTCCAGCCTGGAAAGCCCCAGGCTGCAGCCTAGGAGAAGGCTAAGGGGTACTGGGGGTTGCAGAGGGCAGCCCAGGACTAGGCCAAGGCAGCAGGTCCAAACCCCCCTTGCCGATGATGAGTGGCCTATACTGCAGTCTGCCCCAGAGTGTGGGGGCTAGTTGGTGACTGGCAGTGGCCTTATCCTGATGTGAGGTGGGGTTAGTGGGTGGGGGCTCCCCTGGGAGGAGAGACCAGTGTGTGTGGGTATTGCCAGGGGGCAGCACCCAGAGCAAGGGGCACCGGGGTCCTGGGAGGGACATGGGGCCAGTGCAGACGACAGGGCGGATCACCGGCCTGCAGAGGGCGTTCCAGAGGCTGGTGAGCTAATTCCCTGGATGACCAGCAGGAAGTGCTGCAGGGGTGAGTCCGACCTCTTACAGTGACCCACCTGGCGTTTAAGGTAAGCTACTTTGTTTAGGCCTATGTAGGGGTGTGGACACCTGCTCCTGCCCTGAAGGGCTTAAAACAGCCAGGAAGAGGGCTGTGGCAGGGAAAAGCTAGGCTGATTGGGGAAGTAGCCACAGCTGGGCCAGGCCCCAATCAGGCCCATCTGGTCCCTATGAAAGGTTGTGAGCCAGAGGCCCAGAGACAGTCTCTCCCTGCATTGAGAGAGAGAAGGGCCTGGCTGCAGGAAGCTAGAGACAGGGTATCTGAGTGGAGCAGGGCTGGGGAAAGGCAGAGGAGCTGGGGAGCTCCAGCCTGGAAAGTCCCAGGCTGCGGCCTAGCATTGGGCTAAAAGGTATTGGGGGTTGCAGAGGGCAGCCCAGGGGTAGGCAAAGGCAGCAGGTCCAAACCCAACCTCGCCTGTGATGAGTGGCGTATACTGCAGTCTGCCCCAGGGAG